AGTACTATGGGGGCAAATCAGGCAGCGGGCAGATTCAAAGGATTAATGATCTGAGCTGGGATGAAAATACCTCAATAAATGACACAGTAAAATCCACTCAGTCACTTTAAAAAAAACCCAACTTTGTAATTTGTGTGTAAAAATGTCATCTGTTGCTGACACAAGACCTGAGGCCACAATTCATCAGGATGCTGCCATGGGCTCTGCAGCCCCTGCTGCTGCTGCAGAACCTTTGCAAGGTGGCACAATGTGGTGATGCTCATCAAGTCCACATGTGCTCAAAAGTGGTGCCAGGTAAAGCCACGTCAGTCATCATCCATGTGCCCCACTAAGTTTACACCCAATCTTATATCATCTGTCCTCCTGCAGCCGGCATGAAGTAGCCCAACACAGCAAGCCAACATAACCTTCACATGGCAAGTTTAGCCCGAACCCACAAAGAGGCAATTGAATGCCCAGGGCTGATCTGGATCAAAGCCACACTGCTGGCTCACCCCCATAATGCCAGCAACGGGTTGTAACTGTCAAGAAACCAGCTCCTGAGAAGGGCACAGAAATGGAAAACAGCACTGCACCCAGTTTTGCTGCTGGAGAGCAGGTTCACAGAGGAGGAACAAGACAAGACGGTAGCTGCTGCTGTTGGTTTACAATCCAGAGCACTGGGAAACAGCAGGTGTAAAAATCTGGTTACAGTTTTGTCACTTTATATTGTTTTTTACATAAACCAAGTTTAAGTATTAAGAAAGAACAGAGGAAAAAGAACAAAAAATCCAGCAAAAAATGATAAACGTCTTGAGTTGCAAAGAAACAGTGCTCCCAAAATAAGCCACATACAGTCTCACTGCTAAGTCAACTTTGCAGAGAAATATATTCAGCAACCAAAAAATAAAAGAAATGCTGTATTCCCCACACCTCTTTTGCTCTTTGCTTTTCAACAAAACACGGTCTCTAAAGTCCTGCTGGGACCATTTGGATGTTAATAGTACAAGGTGCATGCAATCTAAGAAAAAAAACATTCTGTCAACCAACATGCCCACCTAATCCACTCCCTCCTCCTGCTCTTTCATCATGTAGCTTTACACCCACCTTTCCCAAGGATAACTCTTCAATCTCACTGCCCTTCTCTGGACTTGAACTCATCTGAACCTCTCCTCTCCCCAGCTCCCTTTCCCATAGGCACTCATAACCACCGGAGGTTCATCCCAAAGCAGGGGCAGCTGCAAGATCTCAAAACACTTCAACGTTTGATTTTTACTTTTTACAATTTTTTTTATAATAGAATTTTCTGCAGAAATTATTTCAGTGGGGTCACAGTTGGTCTGTTTACTGTTTCAACAACCTGAGAAAGCATCACTCCTCTCTGAACCCAACAACGCACATGGGGCGTCCCTGGAGACACTCTCACTAGTAAGGCCCCGAGCATTTCACAGAGCAGCATGCAAAAAGCCACCAAGCCCTCATGTGTAAGGTGAGTGACACCTTGGCCAGGGAGCTGGTGCCAGCAGCACTGGCAGTCCCCGCACAGCCCCCACTCAGTACTTGCTGACCTTGCCTACAGCAGCAGCCTTCAAGCTGTGACTCCCTGCACCTTCCATCAGGCAGGAATGCATTTCAAACACAACGATCTGGAAAAGCTTTGGAGCTAACCTCAACCAAACCTTCACGTGCAAATTCACATCCAAAAGAGGTTCCACCTTGACAAGCTGATGCTTGGGCTTTGAAGGACTTTGCTGGCTGTCTCTATGCAGGGTGGGCAACACACCCAATGAGGAAGGGTTGGGCTGAGAGAGGGTATCTATCACTGTCACCATCCATCAGGGTATCACTGAGGGAAATCAGTATGGTAGCACAAGGCTGATGTGTTGCACAGAAGCCCATGATGCTCCTACCCAGACTGTGTCAAGCACAGGGCTGAGAAATGGAAAGCAATCTGGAGGAGAAGACAGGAGAGATCACACAAGGAGGAAAGGTGCAGCGAGTGGTAAATTTGGACCTATTCCCAGTTTCCAAAGGTGGAGGCTCAGCCAGATGAAGCACACGTTTCCCCACAAGAGCTCACCCACACCCCCCATACACTGCTGCTGATCCCCTGAGGGTGCTGCCACTTCAATGCTCAAGACTGCAGTGCTCCTGACAGGCAGTGATGCCATGGGCTTGTGGGCATGCCCCAAAGTGCCTGCAACCATCACCAACCAGTCTGCTGGACATCCAACTGAAAAAGTAGCATGCATGCAAAGTCACATATATGCAATAAAAATAGCTGAAATTGGGATTCCTGCTTCTTTAATCAGCTTTTAACTGCCAAGATAAAACAGGATAGAAGCTCAACAGGAGTTGCACTTGAAAGCGTCAGAGGTGTGATGGCCGCTTTTGTGGAAATCTTCCTTTTTTTCAACAAATACATCTTTGAAATCAAAAGCAGCCTGTGGTAAGACGTGGGGAAACCTGAGATAACAGCAATGATCCAGCTGGCATGCACTGCTCAACACAGCAAACGCAAAAGCATTTAAACTCAATAAAGTTAGCAGCATGCCTTGGAAGTTGTTAAGTGAACAAAAAGTTAAAGAAACACGAAGCAGAAAGACTCAAAATTATCAACAGAGATGGACAGGAAACAGAAAAACGAAGAGAGGGGACAGTAAATCACCAATCACACTGGGTGTTTGCGAGGGGCTGCAGGGAATTTTTCAGCACCTTCCTTCTAACGGCAACACTATCTTATGAACATGACTGATCAAACTGGCACGGCCCTGCCATCAATAAAACTTTTTACAAACCCCTATTTTACCATACCAAATAACAGCAGTTTATGGGCAAACTGCCTGGCAGGTTCCTCCTCAGGGAGCAGTGGGCTCAGTGCTTTGTCCAGGGACCTCCAGTAGATGCTCCAGCCGTGGGTGTCTATCCCAACTCCAGGCTTCTGGAAAGACATCAACCCACATAAGGAGAGTGTTGTAAAAAGAGCTGAGCTCAGTGTTGTAAAAAAACCTGAGCTCATGCAGGAAAGACAAAGCACATTTCAGTCTGGGAAGGCTCCCACCACATTTTTTTAAATCACAATGCACAGGGAGGCACCCAGGCACAGGGCTGGATCATCAGCTCCTGAGTGTATCCTCCCTGGTTGAGCATCATGGGGATAAGCAACAGCCCTGGCAGCCTGTTACACCACAACAGGCTGTTTCTATTTTTAACTAAAATGCTGAAAACAGAAGAAGGGGGAAAAAATACACTGCAAGCTAGCATATTAACCAGCCAGAAAGGATGCATATGATAGCTGCCCCCTCCACACCATATAGCATCCCAATATCCTGCCAAACCCACACGGTTTGGATTAGCGATGCATCCTCTGGAGTAACAGCCCCGTTATGGGATCCAGGCGGAGCGCAGTGCTCCCCTTGAGAACGGCAGAAAAGGGGAAACGCACAGCAGCCTCCAGCCCTCGCCTGCCGTCAGATGCGCATGGATTTGGGGAAAGCACAGTCCACCTCCTGGACCTCAAATGCTGGATAATGCCAGTTTGTTGGGACATCCTGGGGCACCCGAGCACCTCTGTGCCACCCAGGTTGCCTCACTTACCCACCACGCAGCGCTGGCTACAGGCATGTGAACTGCAACCATGCAGCATCAAAGCTGTGATGGAGGAGTGTTCTCTAGGCTCCATCACGCTCAGAAAACAGCTCTGATCTAGCAAAACTCATCAGCCAAAAATTTGGTCCAGGAGTCTTACTTTTTGCTCACAGGCTTCTTTTCTCCTCTCTCAGACTGAAGCAAAAGGCATGGGGTTAAGTCCAGCCTGGGATGCTCAGCCCTTGCAGATGGGCAGACCAAGAGGTGAGCAGGATGAGCATTTCTCTGCTTCACCCGAACACAGAGAGCATCTATGGCACTGCCACACTCCTACTATGCCTCTCAACAACTTCATTCACCAGCTGCAAGTAAAGCTCAGGACTGATTTTCAGCACTGATTCAGAGGCCTGTGAGATATTTCCAGATTTTTCTTTTTTTTTTTTTTTTTTTTTTCTGGCTAAGTCAACAGATCCAGTCATTGCTGTTACACATTGTCCTAAGTCTGAGAGCTGGTTTTGCTCATGGTAAAAGAAACTGAAGTTCTTTCTGATTAACTCCACAGAAATGTCCATTGCTCAGATAGGAGTCTGTAAAGCTGGCTTGAACTAATCATCGAATTAGTTTAAAACAATTACGTTTTGAGGATGAGCATACTCTGGCATCTGAAATATCATTCTGAGGTTTTTATTTACTTTTAATGTTATTTTTTGTTTTACTGTCACCATCAGGTTAATCAGACAGAACGGAAACATCATCAAAACCAGCCAGCCCATCGTGGTATAACCCAAAATAACACAATTAGTTTCTGTAACCAGCTTCTCTGCAGAAGCAATGTATCCTGTTCCAACCTTGGCTCTCTGTATGCCTCATGATTCAGTTTTGAGGGGAAGAAGCTCACAAAGAAGCTGCATGGATTAGTGCAAACCCCAAAACCACATCATGCAAAAGGCAGAAAAGAGCTGACCCCAAAGGCGATTTGGCAAGCACAGCACTCTGGCTTGCAGCAAGCTTGCCTGGCTGGCCAGACAAGTTGGTGGTCCCACAGAGGATAACTCATGACAGGAGGAATGTCTTTCAGCAAGTAAGCACACTCTACCTGACAGATGGGCGCAAAAAGACCCTAAATGAGACTTACAGCATATAGAAAAGGCCAGGGCTGTCAAGCTAAAGAGTTGTGCAGTGCTCCTTCATGCACAGGTCCCCCAAATTTGACAACATAAAAAAATGAGGCTGCAGGTATTTTGACTATCAGCTGGGCTTTCACAGGAGCACAGTGCTTGTGCCGATGGATTCAAGTTGACCCTGGGTCAGTGCAGCTCCCCATTGGGAAACAGCCCTGTGGGACTCCACACACAGCACGGTGACTCTCTTCCCTTTTGTCAAAGCATCACTTGAAGCAAAAGCCTGAAAATGCATTAACCAGGAAAGAAAAGCAAGCACATTACGAAGCAAGAGCACAAAGCACACCATGACATTTATAAGTGAGGCTGGTCTTACTCATTTGTATTTCAAAGGCCAGGTTGACACAAGACATTTTTCTTGTTCTAGCTTTGTCTGTGAAGGGAATAATACATAATTTTGAGTGTTGTTGCCACAGTGTCAGCCAGAGCCTTCCTGCAGAGTCAGCTACAATGACATTCAACCTGCCTCGCTTCAAGAACATAAGGACCAACCTGGGAAAATCCCTCTTTGGCTGATAGGACCCACACCGATTTTGGAAGGCTTGCTCATGCCCATACACTCACCTAAACTCCCTACAGCTTGAGTGAGTATTAAGCTAATCATGTTGAATGTCTTCCCTCCTTCAATAACTTCACACTGCTGAAACGTTTACCATCTTCAGAGCTCTCGCTGATTGATGGTGATATTTAGTGACAAAACTCAGGCTCAACATTTGAGCACCTCTGTGGCCCCTATCACACTGTAAGATCTCCTCCTTTGCATGAAAATGGTATTTTTTCATCCCACCAGTAATAACCCCAGCTGAGAGGATGGAGGACCATCAACACTGATCAGTCATAGCCCTCTTGGTGGCAAGCTGCAATGCTCCTTAAATCAAGAGCTGCCTCTTCCTTCAGCCCAGAAACCTAATGTAAAATCCAGCTAAAATCCAGTTTACAGTCTGCCTTGTCACACCACACCCAACAAGACCCTTGTTGGGGGTGGCAGTTTCCTGCTCTGGCTTAATGCCTACTTCACCTGATGACCTCAAAACTGGCAGTCAAGGTACACAGAACATCTACCTGTAATAATTTCAGCCTCGCATTCTCCCAGTAAAAACCCAACAGCCTCAAAGGAACAAGCCATCCTTCCCACTACATATATCACACATTTATGTGCCTGTTTTCAGGTCATCAATCTACAAACTTCTCGGTCATCAATCTAGAGCTTCTTGGAAAACTTTACTTGCCTACAACAAAGCCAATCAATTCAGCTGCACTGTGATTTACATTAGGCAAATACATAAAACTGACAAGGTCACAATACACCAGGTCTCCATCTCCTTGGTTGATACCATTATGACCATGTCCTTGGTAGATACCATCATGACTATGCAGAGGCCTTAAAGAGATGCCATCATAAAAAAGACCATGAATGTGCATGCAATGAGAACATCCTCTTCCAACCAGGACCAAAAGATGGGCACATTAAGTGGACGCTTTGCTCCATGGGTTCCTTCAGGTTGGAGTTGACCGTGAATCTCCGCTTTTCTTCTGTAACTTGACCCTGTGGTTAATTTTGGCTCCTTTTATGCCCCCAAAGCATGTTGGCACTGTCAAGAGTCCTTCTACCCAGTTATTAAGTCCATGAACATGACTCTAGCAGGCGCACTAGGAAAGCAAAGTAAGCAAAGTAAGTAAAGTAAGGTGTGTAAGTAACAACAGGAGAACCAGCTTGCCCCAATTAATGATCTCCATATCCAAATCAGAATTTCCCTTTCAAGTTTGCCATCCATCACAGAGTTACTCCCACCAATCTTCTCCACCCACCACCATGCGCTCCACCTCTGTCCCAGCTGCTGTCTCCAGCCTTCAACCATGCTCATGACACCCTAGTCATGGTCCAGCATGTTTCCCCTCCTCTTTCAGGGCAATTTCATCCCTATTTTTAAATCCATTTTCTCCATATATGGTTTGACTACATTTGTGGAACCCGTGCCCATTTACACATGTGCAGCCAGCAAGCACCTGTAATTTGGAGATTTGTGGGCTTCCACCTAGCAGCTACAAAGCCCATGTATCTCTCACCTACAGGCAACTGAAATGGTGATGGATGGTTCATGCCTTCTCTTGCCCAGTTGGAGCAATGATCTTATTTGGGGACGAAGGGAAGTGAACTAGGACAGGTCACAGAGAGATCTGGCAATGGACTGGTTAGACCCAACACATCTGACCCAAGATCCCACCATAAAACTGAGAATGGTTTCATCATGACAATGCAGGCAAGGCAGGCAGTGTATACATCACATACAGTAACAAATACACTCACAGAGCTATATATAAGATATATATATAAAGGACACACAAAAATAACACCAAGTGGTACAGATGCCAAAGCAGGGATAAAATTAGCTTATTAGAGAAATGGCAAAATCTCTTAAGATCATGGAAAAAAAGCCTATTCTGAACAGTAATGATCACATTTCAAAAATAGAGGATATTCTTGGCTTAGAGCCCTACATACCACAACAGACAACGATAAAGTGAGATCTCACAAGGGAAAAATCAGCCAGATGGTCCATGGAGTTATCCCAGGAAAAGCAAGGACTGCATGCATTAGAGCACTGCAGCAAATTATTTCCTTGGTATCACAGAATGCACCAGTGTGCTGCCTAAGCCAGGCTGCTGCTAAAATGCAATTTTCTTAAAATCATGCAGCCCTAACATTGCAAAAATCAGCAGAACTCAGAAAAAACTTTCCAGAACCTATTTCCTGAAGGCTAGTCTAACATTAACTAGACAAAAAGTAATGCTGGCAGGGAATGCCAGGATGCCATCCTTGAGACTTAACCCAGATAAGGCAAAAATGTCAATATTGTCAAATGCATATAAATTAGAATAGAGTAGTATTGTAGTTAGCTCTATGATTTCTTAGCAATCAAGTTACGGTGCAAAATGAGACTGAAAATGAATGAAAATGGGCCAGAGAGTTTTTATCACAATCGGATAACGTACCCAAGGAAATCACAGGGGGCACACAAGCATCCCAGGGCTGGGAATCATTTAACAACTCTAGAAAGGTAAAACCAATTAAGTACAAGGTAATACTCATCTGCTGTAATATTAAAGAACAATTAATCAAATTCAAATAAAGGCAACACATACACAGAGCAACAATAAGTGCAAAACATAATCTGAATCACTACACACAAAGACCTACCATGAAGACAGGGGGTGAGCATGGCACACCCAAAGAGGCACACTCACCTCCACACTTAATGGGCATCAGGGCTTTTATTGCAAAACCTTGGGTAGAATCCCTCCACAGTGCTTTCCAAAGAGACACCTGTGCCCAAGACACCAACACAGCTCTGAGCATCATTTGACCAGCTCGGTTTACAGCAAAAAGTTTTCCTAACTGTCCCATCCTTTTTGCTGCTGTTTTGCTGGATTATTTGGTTATGGGCACAAGGGATGAATTACAGGTGTGAGGTAACGCAATCCCTCCCTCCCCCAGAGGAGCTCTACAGCTTGAAGTGAGGTGCTGACCTTGGTTATCCTACCCTCCTTTTTTTCCTCCTGCTAGCGGCCACAACAGAAACCTCAAGCAAAACTGCCCTAATCTCTCTTGCAGAATTTTATTTCATTCTGACTTGGGTGCTATTTGAAGCTTCAAGAAAGGAACATCTTAAATAAAAAGGTTTATGGCGGCATGCAGCAGTAAAATTGCTTTCAAAGCCTCAACACATCGGTTCATCGGGAGAAACCCAATCATGTTCATTAACTCCTGGCTGACAGTTTCAAAGATGCTACCCATGGCCAAGATCAGCCTGTTATCCCAAATGCAATCATCCATCTGCTGCTGTAGCCAGGCAGCAGCTCCAAATTTTGTATTTATCCTCTGTTTCAGGGAAACAAGTACTCATTAAACTCGTTTTACATAAAAGCAACAGAGATACCAAGAAATTAAAAGGTGGGACTGCTCTCTCCCTAACCTCAGCTGCCTAGGAGTTAGGTATCTAATGTAAGCCAACTGTCTGGAAACTTTCCATGGTTCATGGAGGAACAGGCTGCTCCGAAGTATCATTTGTTCCTCCTCTTCCTACAGAATGTAAGTGAAGCTTACATTGGAAAACACTTTTTAAGATTTCACACCTAGCCTCACCTGAATCCTAACCACAGCCATTCAGGAGCAGTGAAATCCATCAAATACCAGCTCCAACTGGCACAGTCACACCAGTACAACATCTCCAAGCAAGCCAGCATTTTGACTGTGAAGACACACTTTTGGTCCAGCTGTGTGACCTGTCTGAGGCCACAAGTATGTGGCAACACCATGACTGGGGTTCCCCACACTCAAGCTTGGGTTCTTCTACTGATTGGAAAATGAAACTGCTTTAAAAGCCTTCATTTATACTCTCAGAAAACACACAAAAATCAATCCCAAGATGCATCAAGCTTGGGGTTTTTTTAAGCATAATTGTTACAGAAATATGAAAATTCAATTTGGCAAGACAATCCATTTTCCCCCCATTGTCAAGACATCTCTTCCTGGATAACCTATGTGGTACGTGACTTCCCAGCAGGCAGACACAAGGAATGCCCATTCTGCCACATCCCCACCTGGCTCTGCTCAACTGTCCAGCAGCCCTGCCCAGACCAGCGGCATCACCACAAAGAAGAGCACAAGGAAAGGACTGCAGCTTCAGCTGTTTATCCAAAATACCAAGGCACTTGGGAGTAACATAAAATAGCCAGAACCATCCACTTTATGCTCTTTGGGACTATGCCCAGATAGGAAATCTTCCCAGGAAAAGATAATTTGTAAAGCATTATCTATATGGTAAGGTCTAATGAGTTAATCCCCATCACAATGTATATCTGATGCCTTCCCACGGAAGGATGCAACCCAGTAAGGAGGTATTCCTGGCATGTCACTGTGAATGGCCAATTTGCAGGAACATCAGCTCTCCCTGTCGTGACCACAAGGAACAACAAGATAGCAAATCACCCACCTCATTCCAGGTCAGCAGCTCCCAGCATGCCTGCTTGGAGCAATAACCCCCCCCCACACACAAGGGCAACCCTTTCCTCCGCAGCTGAGCTCCATCTACTTCTGTTAAATACCTCTCAAGTCCTCTTGTTTTGAGAATCCAGTTGACAAATTCAGGCAAATACACTTGAACAAAAGGAAAAAAAAAAATGAAAACACAATACATGCAGTTGTCTGGCAGTTTGGTTTGTGTGCTTTCCTGTCGATTTTTAATCCCCCCCTCCATGACGGTGCACTGGCAGCATGCACCTGCCAGCTCTATTGATGTGGACCCCTCAAGCCTCTCAGCTCCCGCCTGCATGCCACCTTCTCCAAGGTGATACTGGTCTGGATGCACATTGCAATAGAGCAGGCAGTTGTAACTCAGGGTTATGGTTAAGAAACATTACCCCCAGAGCACCTGGATGTTGGCAGAATATGCCCCAGTTGTGATAATTAATCCTTCTTGACCTTGGTTCCCTTTAACTCCGTATTGGTTTTCAATATGCAACTTCATAATTCAGAAAGTGAACACATTTTACTACAAAAGGGCCAAATTTATTAAGGAAAAAGACCTGTACAAGGACAACATCTCCCCAAAGGAGACTTCGCTGCAAGACATGCTGCAGATACATTTGCTGCCTGACAGTGCCATTGCTTCTTGCCAGCAAATGGTCCAAAGGACACCTCTCCCTGCTTCCTCCTAAGCCCTTCAACATCTACCCCATCACAGCTGAGACAGACTATGTAACAAAAAGAAACATCCACAAGTTGTGGTCACAAAGGACACATAGAAAGCTTCCCCATGAGCAAGGTGGTGCAGTGTTGAAAGGGGTCACCTGGAGAGGTGGGGATGTCTCTGTCCCTGGAGGTGCTAGCTGCCCTGCTCCAGTGCTGGTGGCACTAGAGACCTCCCACAGTCCCTCCCAGTCATCGTTTTGGGGGCTCTCCCTTGGGTCCTGCTGTGTTGTCAGAGACACCAATGGCCCAGCTGCTCCCAGAGGACTTCTCTGCCTCCCCCACCCCCCCAGTTTTGCTCTTCCCCAGGCCCCCACCACAGACCACATCTGGATGATGTCCCTCAATTCCCCTTGTTACATCCTCAAGCTTCCCAGGAAACACAGTCAAGGTCAGGGCAGCTCCGTGTATGTGAGGAGGGCAAAGGTATGGGGGTGTCGAGAAGATACTCAAGAAAAACATACAGATGATACAAACCACCGCTGAGAGCAGCTTTTTATATGTGTGTGATTCAACCATCCATAGACACCGTTAACTTTAATAGGAAGCAGCAGACTGAACCCACTGATGCAAAACCTAAAAAAAAAAAGACCAGAAAACACCTGGTTCAACTAAATATATGCACAGTCTGCTAGTGGATCTTCCTAACGAACACAGAAGACCGATACAGCCATACACACCAAGCAAAGGAGATTGTACAGATCTGTACTGATGCTGCGCTCTCTCTAGGCACGGACATGTGTAACCACCAAACGTGGCAAGTCGCCAGCTGGCCCAGACAATGCTGGGAGCCACTGATGAGGAGCAGCTGAATCTTGAAGAGGAAAATGCAAGGAGCTAAGGGAAGACCAGACTGAACAACATCACCATTTATTTTTTCCAGATTTATAGCAACAGCTCTGAGAGGATGTAACGCCTCAAAACCTTTGATCAAACGTCTGGGTGCCCACACGCACAAGGAGGGTGTCGTGGTATCAGCTGGCAACTAAGCCCTACACAGCCGCTCGCTCACTCCTCCCACAGCAGGATAGAGGGGAGAATTGGAACAGAAAAAATGAGAAAATTCATGGGTTGAGATAAAGGCAGTTTAATAGATAAAACAAAAAGAAGGAATTCATTCACCACTTCCCATCAGCAGGCAGGAGTTCAGCCATCTCCAGGAAAGCAGGGCTCCATCGCACATAACGAGTTACTTGGGAAGACAAACATGATCACTCTGAACATGTACCCCCTCCTTCCTTCTTCTTCCCTCAGCTTTATATTGCTGAGCACAACATCATATCGTATGGAATACCCTTTGGTCAGTTGGGGTCAGCTGCCATGGCTGAGTCCCCTCGAACTTCTTGCGCACCCCCAACCTACTCACTGGTGGGGTGGGGTGAGAAGCAGAAAGGCCTTGACTCTGTGTAAGCACTGCTCAGCAATAATGAAAACATCCCTGTATTATCAACACTGTTTCCAGCACAAATCCAAAACATATCCCCATACTAGCTACTATGACGAAAATTAACTCTAGCCCAACCAAAACCAGCACAGATGGAGCCTGCAGAGAGCGTGGGGGGTGCCCAGCCTGCTGTTCCCTCCCCACCTCCCCATCCAGGCACCCACGCACACGCTCGTCACCCCATGAAGCTACTTTAAAGAAGTAAAAATTACTGAAATAGAAGACAGTTCAAACGGATTTTTATCATCACATCCTGCATATATCAAGCAAAATCAGAACAGGGGAGGAGCGGCCCATAAAATAAATAAGCATTTAACCCTTGCAGTGAAAGAGTCAGCGTCTTGGCTTTGGAGAGCACTGAGGAAGTACTCATTAACGTCAGGAATAATAGTGAAAATATCAATGAAATGAAGCGGGACATGTCACACCGCAGAAAGCACAGGCAAGAGATGTGGGGAGACAGCCCACATCTGCAGCCACGGCTGAGCTGACGGCACCTGACAGGACATGTGTGCAGGTCCAAATCACAGCAAAAAAAAAAAAAAAAAAAAAAAAATTGATAGGTTTGGTTGGGTGTAAGATCAGGTTGGGTGTAGAACTGAGCCGCAGCAGAATCAGGGACAGGAGAAGCAACAGCTCAGTGCTGCTCCACACAGCACTCAGCATCGCCAAGAAGCGTCCTAAATCCACAGCAGTGGACCCAGGACAGGTTTCAATCCAAGGGATGTCGCCACTTTACCAGCTACCCCTTGAGCTGCAGCAACTGGTTGGATTTGTGTACTGCTACTGCATCAAGCATAAGGCAAAGCACAGCCTAAAAGCCTTTCCAGGTAGGCTTAAACTAACTGGTCTAATGTCATACTTGAAACAGTCTAATGGGCAGCAGCTCAGCAAGCTCTGCTCACCCAATACTCCTCAGAATGCATTAATCAAAAAAGTTTTAAGCTGCTCCCTACACTCCTATACTGTGGATCGGCATTGATTTAGCTGAAGTACTGTGAAACCTGGAGGAAGCTTTGCTGCAGGCACCTCACAAGTGCCACCCAGCCGCTGTTAGCAATTAATCGCTGATGAAAACTCTGCCCACACCTGAGGACCCCTCTCCTCACCCGGCAGCACTGCCACAGTGTCCCTTTCGTATTTTGTACCTCCTGGCCTGGCCTCTGGGCTTTGCCCTGATTTTTGCCTCTTTGCAAGATCCTTAGGCTTGACAGACTTTATCTTGTCACATTAGACCCAACTGCCTTTTCTCAGGGCTGATCAGCTTGCTCATGCAAATTATCCAGGGTGGAGGTAAACTTTGTTAGTGGCAGAAAGGGGCATTCAGATGGTTCCTTTTATGTTTCACAGGTCATTTGCATGCTTATTCTCTGCCTTTAGGGCAACTTCTGGTTGACTGAACACCTGCTTTTAGCTGCCGGGAAACAGATAACAAACCTTCTACTCCACCCACCCCCAATTCACACCCTTTAGCTGATGTCACTGAGACTTGTAAAACCCTCCTCGCTTCAGGCAGGCTGATCATTTTATCTTGGTCAAGACAGAGATGAGCCCATTCTCCTGCTTTCTATAACCCAGAATCCCAAAGCATCCCTGCAAACCAAATCCAGTGGAAGTGGAGAGCCTCACACCAGGACACAGGCTCCACAGTTACACATGTCTAAGCCCCAAATGCTCTCACTGATGTCCGAGGTGTCAGCCCAGCACAAAGATGCTTCCAAAAAAGGACGGATGGAGAAGTGAAGCCAGCTGGAGTGAACTTTACCATCTAAAAGCCTGCCAGCAGCCATGTAAAAATGAAGCTCTTTGCTGGGAACACTGACACTGCAGAAAGCATCACCCTTTCTTAGACACAGCACTAGGATCTCCTGTTACATCACTCATCCGTAAAGTAATTCTCACTACAACTCTAAAGACAGAGAAGCAAGGCATGACCTGAGAGCAGAGACCAGCAGAAGCAAGCATCAAACCCAAGGGCACCATGAGTCCCTGCAACATCTCCTGGTCCCCAATGCTGACACAGAAGGCAGATGCATGTGTCCCCCACTTGAACATGGCCAGGGCTCAGGCAAAGGGCTGTGACCACATAATTTCACTGTGACAGTGTTTCTCGCTATAAAAGGAAGCATTTCTCCAGGGCTGCAGTGAAAATACTTCAATGACTAGTAACACAGAAAAGATAACAGTAACTTGCAGAAGAAACCCTACACATAAGAAAAACACACATTCTTTGCCCATTTAAAACTAAACAAGAGTGATGTACCACAGCAAATTATATTTGTTCCTTGATTTAAGGTGACGATCTTGATGGTGGACTATCAACATCAATCCCTCTTTCTCAACATGATGCACCTCTGAGAACATATTGAGGGCATCAGCCGAAACAAAAGCATATCAAAAATCTTTCAGAGATGAGTCTGCTTAGGTACAACAGCTTGTACATCTAAATTTTAATATTTTCTACTCAATATTTTTCCACACTGCAATACAGACTAGCAGCACAGGCTGAGCACTCTGCAAACATGCGCAGAAAGCAACGTCCCCGTCCATCAAAAAAAAAGGTGACATGGAGGAGGCAGCCAAGCAAAGGCAGACAGCTATCTGGGGGGGAATTTGCCCTGCACAGGAGATGCAGTGAAGTGCACAAAAGCTCTCAAGGGAGATGCTAATCAACAGAGCCCTGACACACAGGTCTCAGCTCTGCACGTTACTGCACCTGTGGGCTGCGACACCATAGCCGAGTTACTGGGATGTGGATGCTCCTGCTACGGGTGTCAGACCCCCATAGGGACAGGGTGAGCATTGCTCCAAACCTTCCCGCTGCTGAAAAGCCACAAGCCACATTACTGGAAAAGCCAGAGGCCAGGGCAGCTCCGGGGCTGGTTCCCAGGAGGTTCATGGGCAGCCCCAGCAGCTTCATCAGGTCTCAGTGCAGCGGCTCCTGGGGCTGGAGTCATCTCCTGGGGATGAAGTCGTCTTGCTGGTCCCCACTGGGACAGCAAAACAGCCAGTGTGAGACGGCCCAGCTGGACTGAGACCTCCTCAGCTATCATACCCTATCCTTCAGGAACATACTTATGCTACCAGTCAGGGTGTATAAACGCTGAGAGCAGTCTCAGACAACTGGATCACAGAGTTAAGCTGTGTCCAAACCCTGAAGAAAATTTAAGGGCAGCTTAGGAGAAGCCCAGTCTTTCATGCAGTGGGTCTAGACACTCTAAGTCACAAGCAAGCACCCTGAACTCCAGTCCTCTTACACAAGGTGCAGACATTACACACGCCTTGCAGACCCTACATCCAAACCCTGGATGCCTGGACAGTGTGGTGAAGCAGGTATTGTAGGGAATGATTCATACCATGCAGATGCCTACAGCAGGTCAGGGTCAGGTTGTTTCCTAAAAATATCCATTTTCCTCCAGCGACTGTAAAAGGAGGCTGGGAGGACAATGATGACTGGTTCAGTAGCAGGTAATTACAGCAGAGGTCTCTAAATCTAGAGGAGCTATGAAGCCCCAAACCAGCCAGAAACAAGGTCTGTGTGATGCACAGATCTCAAAATATTCAAGATAAACCTCCAGCCCTTCTGAGATCCCCAAGCACATCAGCAGTCTAAAATCCTCCCCTGAAGAGCCAAAACACAGGGAAACCTGTAACAAAAATGAAGTCTGGAGCTTCAACAGGAGAGGTCTCACTCAAAGGGTGCAGGGAAGCTCAGGAGAACTTGTATCCTCAAGCTTACAAGTGCTGAAAGGAGTCATTACTCACCTCATTTCCCAGGAAACCCTGGCAGGATCTGACCTCCCTTCCACACACTCCTCCTCTGCTGCCCTTTTTGCAGTCATCCAAGACCTATATGACATTACAACAAAAGAAATGTCAGCAAGCCCAACCTTGTTCCCTCCCTGCAACTGAAAAGCTTCACTTCCTCAGTTCTTCAAAATAAGGCTGCACTGGAAAACAATTATATATATAAATTGCAGAAAATACATCTATTTTTTAATTTAATATATATTATCTATTTAAATAGATATATATATAAATTGGGGAGGGAACAAAAGCCCCCCATAAGTGGCTGAGGTGGCAGCACATTCCTCTGTAGCAGCAAAAGGACCAGCATCAGGGATGGAGCCCTACAGCCTGTCCCCATGATGAACACCCATGATGACCCAGCAACGGGGCACCAAAGAGAGCATGATGAGGTCTTCCTGAGATGTTCATTGTCAACTCTCAGGCAATCCCCCAAATGTTCCTAAAGAGTAATGGGAGGAGGCACAGCCAGGAGTGCCAGGGGCCTGGGATGATGAAGAAATACCCTTCCTGTGGTGCTAGCTCAGGGCTGGCCAAGAGCTGTGAGGAAAGGGGTGGAGGCAGTGGATCCCTGCTCTGTGACCCTGAACATCCCAGCAGCATCTCAGAGAGGATGTGGGCTTTTTCTCATGGCGACCTTCATTCCTTGCTGACACTCCATGTTACAGCCTGAGGGTTGCACAGGTCAGACAGACAGACATCTGGCTGTTGCTCAGGTCCCCAGTGCCATGCTGGGTGGTGGTCCCAGTGGTCTGTTTCTCCACCATCTAGATCTCCATCCTCTCTTTCCTCTCAGGCAGCAGGACCCCTTGTCAGGGCAGCCATATATCACACAGCCATATATAACACAGATGCTCGGGCAGAGCAGGGTATGGGGACCTTTATTACTGTAAGAATAACCTCATCTTACTTAACCCAGCCACATCTGAACTGCTAAATTTGGGAGAGTATGAGAAGCATTCCTCATAACGGAGGTGGGGGAGGGACAGGCAGGCTTTGGTCTCCTTTAACTCCCTGCCAAGTGCTCTGTAATTCAAAGTCCCTGTCAGGGATGCCATCCCAAACTGCACAACAATGGCCCAGACCCAGAAAACCTGGAGATCCAGTGCCTTAACCCCTTCCAGTAAGCATCTGAGCTTGGTCATTTTAAGAAATTTATTCAGACAGGCTTTCTGAAACAGCTCCCACTGAAAAAAAAAGTTTTCCAGAAGGTACATGGGGGGAATTTGGGACATCTCAATGCAGGAAAGGAGTCATTCCACTTCAGATAACCAAGTTTGAAGACTCTGCCCTGAAAGGATGCAGTGCATAGCTTGGTAACAGCTAGCAGCAATCCTTACTTTCAAACTGATTTAAGAAGCTCTGAATGATATTTTTGGGTGCAAAATAGATTAATTACTCATGAAAGACTGCATCAATACCTGCAGCAAGAAGGGTCCACATCACTGGCAGTGCCTAGAAACATTGCCCTGACTTGCAACACGGGCACCTAAAAACATCTGATCACCACCAGGCTTTGCTTTTGAGGTCATAGAAGTAAATTAAACCTCTCCCTTGCTCTTGCTGCTGGTGGGTACAGGAAGGAAATGTAGGTTATGGTAACCTTTCTGGGCTCATTCTCCATAAACACCATCAGCACCTGCACCCTCCTGCAGATGCCCAGAGAAATCTGCCCCTGGAAACCCAACCCATGAAACATCTTGGGGGGGGTGCTGCTGCCCACACTCAACATATAAACACATTAATTAATCCCAGAGGGTGCCAAGTGCAATGGCGTACAAGGTAAGCCAGAAATCTTCCCTGGCAGCCACACCAAGATGTTTGAGGGAGCTTTTGAGGAATCCAGGCATGAGTCTGGGCAACCGGCCGTGGAGCTATGGATGCTCTCCTGGGACCTTTCCCAAGCAATTCACCCGCACACCAAAAAAAAACACCTAGGCTTATTTTCCGTAAAAGTGGGCATCAAACACTCTGACATCAAGAAGGATGATTAAAGACAGTTGACTTAGGAGGAAAGATTAAAAGAACTAAATATGCTCAACTTGGCTAAGCAATGAGTAAGAGACGTGATAAAAGACTTCAGGCATCTGAATGAAGGGAGTGGCATGGCATTAAAGGACTGAATAAAATATCTTTCTGAGAAATGGATCCATCAACGATCTCCCAAGAGATAAGGTACAAGCCTCATTTTTTTAGGCATTTATAAAACCGGTTGCTAGAACTGAGATTTTTGAGAAGAAATCCACATAGCCCCGAAGGGAGCATGCACCAAAGCTTTTCATCTCGGGAAAAGGTGCTGCAAACAAAGCGTGTGATGCCACAAGGGAGCACAGGAAACTTGGGAAGTGGCAAGTATTTCGTTCTGCCTCACCCAAGAAACAGCAATATGCTTTTCATCATAATTTTTTTTTTTTTAAATTTGGTTATCACTCCTTTTTTTTTTTTTTTTTTTTTTTTTTTAGGTTTAAAAAAAAAACAAAAAAACAACAAAAAAAAACCCACCAGCCCATTCAAAATGAACAGGTCTGGGGTCTTAGGTATACTTGACTTCTTCCCCCAATAATTAAAGATAATGGGGTACTGCAGAGGCAAGAGCCTAGTTTGAGCTGGGCAGTGGTGCTCACAGGGACTGGAGCCTGGCAGCTCTCCAGACCCAGTACACACATGGGCAAGGTGACAAAATCCTGGAAAGCATTTTAATACCTGGCTCTGCTGAGACCATACCTCTCAGAGAAGTACACTCTGAAACTGAGGGACCTCATACACTTTAAAAAGATCAAAAGTAATAAGCCCTGAGAAAACCACCCAGGAGGAAAGCTAAACCTGTTATGCTGGCTTTGCCCCAAAAAGCCATGTATAATGCATGTATCATACATACCTACCTAACTACCAACCAAGAGAAAGCAGTGGATTTTGTGTCATTCCACATGATGTCCAGCCATAGGAGGGTCTCCTGAACATCTCCCCTCAGCACGGACAGAGGGGTGTACCCAAGAGAAGGAACTTGATCTGGCCAACAGTATTTACTGAATACAGACACATGCACAGTGAGGTTTCCACCAACACCAGTTTATCAGTTCATTTGATGTGCCTGGGGGTTGCAATTAACCCCCAAATGTTCTTTCAGGTGGTTCTGCCCTGATATTCTTGATGCAACTTGGCCACTGGGTATGATTTGCAAAGCTTGGCGGCATCCCAGATTTGGGTACCTGAGAGACACCTTCATCTTCAACAGGGAAAAAACAGAAGACATTTGTTGATGGTGCAATTTTAAATCACAGTTAAATTCACGCAATGGCCACATATCATCAAGGAGGTAGTCCTGTCCCAGCTCCTCCTGGATTCCCTGACCTGGTGAGTCAATGTAATGCAATCAGTTCTAAGAGAAAACTAGCTGGGGAAAAAAAAAAAAAGGTGAGTAATTTTCTGCTAATTAATTCCCTAAACCAGTTCAGTGGGCTTCAGGCAAGTAAGAAAAATCTTTCCCCTTTTGGCATGAGCAAGATCAGCTGAACTGTAACATGTGACCACAATCCAAGGCAACCTTTGTTTGCAAGGCCAAGAGTGGATCTTTTTGATTATTTTTTTTTCCCTTTCCCACAGCAACCTCTTAAGTCTGCAACTGCCTTTCTCCATGGGAACAGCAGATCCACCATTTACTGACCGGTGAGTTTTACTGCAGAGTCGAAATAGGATGTTCACAGAGGATTTTTTTTTTTTTTTAAATAAGTGGAGCATTTTAGTATGCAGTGAATCTTCTTGCTTTATGCTTGCTTGTCTCTTTGGGAGGCTGAAGTACAACACCAGGCTGACAGATTCATTTTATATATTGAAGAAACATGATTTTACCCCATCTGAAAGGCGGGCCAACATAAAAAGACCCATTCAAAGTGGAGGAAACTCTGCACTTATAGTTTGGGATGAAAAGGGGAAAATTAAAACATCTAAGAGATATTATTATACCTTCTATCAAACCTTCATCTTCCCATACAGAATCAGCTGTTTCCATCCCTGCAGCATCACTGATGCTCAAGATAACCAGGCTCAGGGTATCACCATCACAAAGAATTAAAGGCTTAGAGATTGTATTCACACAACTCTTTCCTTTTAATGTTAATTTTGGGTATCCCTGCTCAGGCCATGACTGCAGTTCTACTTTGCTCTCATCACCTATTCAGACAGACAAACAGACCACACTTGCAGCCCTCACAGCTGGTGTGGCAGAAGGGCAAATCCCCTCTCTGACCCACAGCTCATCCTTACATGAACAGCTTTGGGCACCTGAAGAAGAAAATGTAAAATTTTGACTCATGCAATTCCTGCTACAGGGAGTAAAGGTTATTTTTTCCCCCGACTGTCTCCCAAAACACAGACAAGTTTCTACTATTCAGAACAGTGGGTTGGAATAATCCATGTGTTAAAAAAAAGATGGAGAGTAGCCTGAAAGAGCAGCAGGTCCCAGTGTAGCGCCCAAATGAGCAGTGCTGCAGCAAGGAGCGATGGAGAAAGGGAAGTCCAGATGCAGACCGTGCAATTCCAGCATGGGTGAAGGAGAGCCAGGGGGAAGGTGTAACCCAGGAAAAAAAAAAAAAAGAAAGCTGGATCCCTGTGGCTCTGTACAGTGTGGATGCCCTGGTACCTGGTGGGACTGCAGCTCACTCCTGTACTACAGAGCCTTGGTACATCACCTCCATGGAGCCAGTGTGGAAACCACTCCTCATGAGACACAGTCCCTCTGAAAGCCAGGGGAGAGCTGACTGTACAATTAATGACCTATAAAGAAACCCACTTGCTGTTACTGTTTTTTCACTTGCAAAGAGCAGCAGAACCCAACCCCCAGCACACAGCTCTGCAGGGTGTAGATGGTTCAGTGCTCACAAGCTGCCTGCCCAGCCTTCCCCGGCGCAGAGCCCCGCTGCCAGCAGCGACCGCTGCCACAGCTGCAACAGCAATTTCCGTATCCCTTGTTAAAATCATACAATCATGGAATGGTTTGGGTTGGAAAGGACCTTAAAGATCATCTAGTTCCAGCCCCCCACCAT